ACATAAATACATACCTATGTATATATATATATATGTATTTGTTTTTATATATGTACAAGAGTGCACTTTTTCATTCAAAGTGCACACACACGAAGCATATCTCTGCAAGAAGCAGCACGTCCCAAAGAGAGCCTAAATTAAACTCTAAACCCATAAGCCCGACACCCAAAACCCGAAGCCGTTATTTCGTGTCCCTAAACCCTAAACCCTAAACCCTAAACCCTAAACCAGACCACGAGCGGCGGTCCGGCTGGCAGTGTCATCGAGGCTGCGGTCGCCAAAGTCGGATCGGCAAGAGCTTCGGAGGTCGGCAGGGCGGCAGACCTACTGGAAGAAGCTTGGTTTCGGTTTTTTTGGGGATAGCCGGTCGACGTTTGAACGGGTTGTGGACTTGGTGTCCTTTTCGGCGCGGTTTGGCATTGTTTTGGAGCTCTTTCTTCTTGTTTTGGCCTTCTTCTGGTTGTTTGGAGTTTGTAAGGGCTGGCTGTAGTGGTCGTGGTGCTGGGGTTAGGGACAGTTCGACCGGATGGCTGGTCGACGTTGTGCAACGGCACATGCTGCTTGAGCAACCAACCCATGTCATTATGTAATTATGTCTCCCTTAGCCTCATTGCTATGTACACATACATATACAGTTACATATTCATACCTATATATATATATATGTATATACGCACACATGAATACATATATATATATATATATGTATATGTATATAAGTATCACATACACACATATGCAGGTAAAGCAAGCATGCACATGCCTATGCTTGTGCATATATCTTTGCTTCGTGTAAACATGTCAGTATAATTAACACAAATATGAATATCAATACAGTTGCAAATATTAGTAGCAAAATTAGTATAGGTGTAAACCTGAATATAGGCATCAATAGATAAAGAAATGCCCAAATACTTAATGTGTATATATATACATACATACATACATATAGACGCGCACATGCATACGTGTATGCATGCAGACAATTATACATACATTCATACTTGCATAGGTACATACATACATGCATACATCCATGCATGCATACATACAGAAGTCCATGACTACACACAATCAGTCAATGCATACATGTGTATTGATTGCTGTATGTCTGCTACTCACATCTCTATGTATGCACACACAGCGGTATATGTACACGTCAGTTTTGTATACATGCACACGTAGGCATTTACTTACAGTCATGTTATCTTTCGTTTCTTGTGGGGGAGCTGCAGAAAAACCAAGGAAGAGTGTCGGCAAGCCATCCTGGCTAACCGACCATTGCCGGTAATCAACCAGAGGGCGTGACATGGTCGCCGTGGGCCTCGAGTCTGAACGCAAAAGGCCCAAACTCGGTGAAGGGTTCGGCGCAAGGTTCACCAAAATAATGTAGGGGCTTTAATATTTGGAATAGGGTTTTGCGGTATATTATACTATGATCACAATAAGGAGGCCCCAAAATCCTATTCTAATTATTAAGGCCACTACAGTAGTGCCGCAAACCGTGCACCCCTGACCCGTAAATCCAAAACCCTGAAACCTTAAACCGTGCGTGATCGACTGCATATTTGGGCCTTTGACTCCCTGAAAGTCCAACGCGGGTGTGGCTGCCACGCGCGCACATGCCGCGCTGGTGGGCTCCAAGTTTCGCACAAGTTAGGTTAAGTGCAAGTAAGCAGGAACACTGTCAATATCGCCACATGCTCTAGCAGGAAATTTGGCAAAGTCCCGGTTATTTCAGCCTAGGTCGCGAACAAGATGTAATTGCTGCGATTTCGACCATGGCAGCAATACATGTGGATCTCGCCGTTGCAATGCCATCGAAAATGATTGTCGCCTTGTTGGTGTGTTTGCAGGGTTTGTTGTGGTCGATGGCATAGCCATCACTGAAACTCATTGTCTGTTGCTTGCTCTACTGGCAGTTCGCTTAGGATTTGGAAGAATCATGATCTTTATATAGCAGGTGTGGGGTTTGCGCACAACAAAGTAAGACGATGATCCCATGATGTTCGACGTCGCAGCATTTCTTTCGAGAGCGAGTATCGGCTTGGCCAGCTTGAGTGTAAGAGCAACCGCCACGATGTCACGGATTTTTGTTCAGGCTTTCGTTTCCTGATGAAGGGTGTCCCAAAACCCTGAACCGTAACCCTCTAGATTCGTCGAACCTACATACATGTGACGCAGCAGTCCCAAAGCGACCAGTGCAAGATCAGTGGTGTTTTAAACTACTGCTGCGATTGCTGCCACGTCTCCTCCTCGTCCTCCTAGTCCTAGGCTACTATTGCCGCGACTGCCACTACTACCACTAGTACTACTACTACTACTACTACTACTACTTCTTCTTCTACTACTACTACTACTACTGCTATTGCTGCTACTGCTGCTACTACTACTACTACTACTACTGCTACTACTACTACTACCACTACTACAGCTGCTGCTATTTCAGACTACTTCTAGTTGTACCTCTGGTGTTGTTCGAAGGAATGTCTCGTGGAAG